AAACATACATAAGTACTTCGCTTCAAAGTCCACATTGGCAAATATTCCGCAATACCCCTTGTTCTTTGTTAAACAAAAACAAGTAGGATTGCATATATACATAAAATATTCTAAGTCCACATTGGCACATATTCGCAATACCCCTTGTTTTTTGACTAACAAAAACAAACAGGTTTGCGCAAAACATATAAAAACATAATATATAATATTACATACGTACAAAGTGCATTGATCTCTAAGACGAGCTCTCAATTGCGCATAACAAGTACATAGGTATGTACGAGGGCTGCTATATATATTTCTGCTTCGATTGCTGTTTTGTTTCGGGCTCATACGCATACAGTGCCACATATACGTATAAACGCACTCTTACTTTTAATTTTGCTAACTTCTCTCTTTCTTTGCATTGCACTCATTACAACAAATTCTCTCTCATATTGTTTGTTAAACTAACGGAAATTCGTATTGAGTGCAAACCCCCACTTATGTTGTTGTTTTTATATTTAAATCAGATAGCAAAAACAGGCACATATTCGTTTAAACGCATCAACTTAATTTTTAATAAGGCTACATTTATTTAATTTTTATTAATTTATTGGTCCTCCATTTTTATTTACAACCTCAAAAATACGGTTTGGTATCGAGTCCACTAAATTTTGCAGCAGCGTCCGGTCCAAATCTTCCCAAGCCTCCTTAATAGCCAATTTGAGCTTAGTGTTGCCTAGGCCAGCCAGCTATATAGCAGGCCTCGTATCAGCTGATCCGCTTATAGGTATACGCTATAGGAATTACGGACGCATAATACATACAAATAAAAATAAAAAACATTTGCGTTTATTTATAATCAATTAAATAATATTAAAAAAAAACAAATTTTTTAATATAAAAGCGATAAAACACGAAATACCGTAATTTATTCAGTTCATTAAATAAAAACTCTTATCATCTTAAAAGAGTTCAGTTACTCATACAAGTTTAAATACGCCATTAATTTATTAATTTTTTTCAAAAAAAAAAAAAACTTCTTTCCTTAAAAGAGGTTTCAAACATATACATATATTTCTTACATTGAAAATATATTATTTTATTTTGGCACATCTTTTAAATGAGCTCAGACTGCATATGACGCAATCGTATAATCTGACGACTCAGATCTACTTGAAAATTTCAAATCCTCGGCTTACGCCAAATACGAAAAATGCTTAGACCAGTTTGAAGAAACTAAAGCAATGATTTCTAAACTAAAGTTATTAAAAGCAATTGCACCTACTTTACATCACCGAGTAGAGCTGCCACAAGTGCAAAGTCAAGAGGCAAGTTCAGGCATCCATCTCAAGGTGCCCGCATGTGACACAGAAATATTTCATGGTGGTTATGAACAATGACCGTCCTTCTGGGACATGGTTACAGCCGTTTACATGAACCACCCAAAATTATCAAATGCACAAAAATTGTATCACCTCCGATACAAAACAAAAGATCAAGCAGGCGTAATAGTAAAACAGTTCGCACTAAATGACGATAATTTCAATTTGGCTTGGGAAGCTCTTAAATCTAGATATGACAATGAAAGAATATTGGTCGATAAGCAAGTAACGATACTAATGAACTTGCCTAAGATTCAAAAGGAAACAAGTGGAGAGTTTATAAAACTGCAATCCACTGTTTCTAATTGCTTCTCGGTTCTATGGACACAAAATATTCCTACAGACAGCTGGGACCCAGTACTGGTAAACATATGCACCGCCGCATTACCAGAAAAATCATTACTTCTATGGGAGCAATCACTCTCATCACGAAGAAAATGCCCAACGTTGCAACAAATGAAAGATTTCTTAACTACCCAGTACGAAATCGCAGAAAGGGTAGACAAAAAAATAGTCAGAACGAAAAGCGACGACTTAAACAGAAGCTTCAATAGACCCCAAGCCAGTAGCAGCAACAATTTAAATAGAAGCTTTTTTAAAAATCAATCGTTCAGCTCTGAACAATACTAACAGACGTTGTTGTTGTAGCGGCAGAATTCTGCCGAGTTGACAGTCCTTGGCCGGAATAAATCCGGGTCCGTTCCGGTTACGTAGACCCGACTGTCGTGGGAACGGATACAAACAAACGTTATGCGAGTTGTGTACAGGAGGGCATACGCTCAAATCATGCGAGAAATTCAAAAAATTAAATATTGTCGATAGGAAAAATGTTGTGAAAACAAAAAGACTGTACAAATTGCTTGTCACATGTGCATACACTTAAAGAGTGCGGAAGCCAATTTAATTGCGTTTATTGTCATAAACGACATCATTCAATGCTGCATTACAGCACATTTTCCAGCTCACCCCCAAACAGCGCAAATATGAAAAGAGTCACTGGTTTAGTTGCAACAGCAAATCCCGAAGTGCGAAATCCCGAAAATTGCCAAGAAGTTCCATGCTGCTCAAAGGCATTCAAAACTCAAACGCTACACAGCGAAAATCAAAGTAGAGCACTACTACCCACATCAGTCGTCTCCATCGAACACCGAGAAGAACTGTTTAAGCTTAGGGCCTTAATAGACCAAGGATCACAACGATCATTTATAGCGTCTATGGCTCAAAATAGGCAACAACTGCCAACAAAACTAGCCAATTTGGAATTCACGGAAGTGGGCGGAAGGTTGTCCAAAACTCTAATAAAATCTGCCCCATTACCTTAATTTCCCCCCAAGCGAATAAGCACATACAAGCAGAAGCTATAGTCTTACAGCACCTTACAAATATGCTTCCAAGCTATCACATAAATTCCAAGTATTGGCAAAAGGTTTCACACCTAAAGCTAGCAGATCCCAACTGCAACACTCCCGCTCGAATAGATCTTCTATTAGGCAGAGATCTCATACCACAGATAATATTTGAAGGTATTGAAAAAATTTCAAATACACTTCTGGCACAAAATATTATTTTTGGTTGGATCCTAAGTGGACTTGTTACGGAACCAGTTACAACCATGGCCACTCAGGTTGAGGAAATCTCAAACGAATACCTCAATTCACAATTAAAGAAATTTTGGGAGTTAGAAGAGCTCCCGCCTATATCAATTACAACCCCAGAAGTTCAGTATTGTGAAGACTTTTATAAAGCCACAACTACTAGATCAGATAATGGTCGGTACTTCGTACGTGTACCACTAAAACAACAATTTTCTAACACACTCGCCTTAGGTCACTCTCGCACCTCTGCAATACAGCAGTTTTTAAGTATGGAAAAAAACTTATTAAAAAAAGGTGAGCTTAAGCCTGAATACGATGGCGTGTTAGTAGAATACCTCCATTTAGACCACATGGAGGAAGTAAGCGCAGGCGAAAAAATCATAAATGGCAAATATTACTAATTTTACTTGCCTCATCACGCAGTAGTAAAGCTAGATAAAAAACCATACCCAAATTATCCGCGAAATCCTGGGACGGTATTCTAAAGCCGACCCAATGTTCGTTTTAGATTTTAGTCAAAATGATGGGTTTGAAAAAGTATATGAAGCAGAGGCACTGCCAAATAGCTGGCAGAAGTATGACCCCAGGAAATTAAAGACGCCTATAAACAAACAATTGTTTTTTGGTGCAACAAAGCTAATAAAGCGACATCGTGGGAGAAGCTAGTAGAAATTAGGTGGTGTGAGAACTTGAGCAGGAATAATGGGCACATCTCTTAGAATTTTAGTTCGAACAGAACTGGGTCACCCAGGAGCCCTAATTGGGGATGATCAAATCTACAATGTAATCGTAACTGCTCACGCTTTTGTAATAATTTTTTTCATGGTTATACCTATTATAATTGGAAGATTTGGGAATTGACTAGTATCATTAATGCTGGGAGCACCAGATTTGGCTCTCCCTCGAATAAATAATATAAGATTCTGATTACTGAGAAATTGAGCTCATGGTGGAGGAATGCGAAGCATATTGGAAGGAGAAAAAGGGCAGTAAAGAAGCTGAACTTAGAATGTAGCGAGAAAAGCATGATATTTATATGGTTGGGTTCTGTCCAACTTAACAAAGTTCGAATTTCTTTGTAACTTATGTATATTTATAAATATGTATATAATCTTGTTTTGTTATTGTTATTACTCTATTGAATAATTTTATTGTTTTCATGTTTAATATAACTAAAATTCGTTAACATATTTATCAATTATGTTTTTTGAGTAATGTTGGAAGTTTCATTTCTAATATTCCGATTATGTGGTGGTACATTTAAAATTTAATTTACAGTTTAATCTAAGTTTGGTGGAAGTATTAGTGTTTCCACTTCAACATCTGGCAGTAGATGTTATGCGAAACTCCCGTGGCGAATATAATGCTTTAAACATTTTGGAAATTCAAGCGTATTCCTACAGACAACACGGGGAACCTTCTCTTCCACACCCCATAGGACCTCTTGCAATTTCTTGTCCTAATATTGGATTAATTGAATAGGGTTTCAGAAGCTGTACGGGTCTTAACACGGGCGTTATCACGACATTTGAGTTTTCATAACCACTGTCAGTAATTACAAGAATTTGTCCAAATTCTTTTGAATTCAAACGGTGCAAATTTCGAAAAATCTTATCATGTATCGATTTTACATAATGTTTGAACATTTATTGAGAAAAACCATTTTCTATTTTTATATAACTCCGCATGGATACCATACCTAAATTGAATGAGTTAACATAATTTCACAGATTTGCTATTATAACATCTTACCCGGGGAATATATTTTTATGTGTGCAGTCCAAATTAAAAGTTTTACATTAACAGCGTTCAGTTCATTCCCATTATTCGGAAAATAAATACACTGACGGACAAGAGTTTTGGTTCCTTAAGCTCTCTGAAGATCCGTTTGTATAAAAGACAGGTCAAATAATATTCTAGTGATATACTCACCTTTATGTTATCTTTCACTGTACTTAATTTCATTATGTAATATCTTTGGTTATTTCATTTCATGGGTTTAAATAAAAAAAAACTTATATATTTCGGTGGACAAAAGTTTTGGCACAGTTAGAATTCTCTGAAATTCTTTCTTTGATTCTGCTTAAAAATGAAAAACTAATAATAACAAGTAACTGCATAATGCTGTACCTCATAATAGAAACCGTTAACAGCGTGCATTAATTACTACAATTCAGTAAAATGGGTCGTAGGAGAGCGGAAAGGACAGCAGAGGAGCGAAAAATTATTTTAAGTCTACATTCCGCCAACAAAAGCTATGCGGAAATTGGCGAAATAATGACGTTAAGTCTTTTTAGTATTCGAAGCATAATCAAGTGTTTTAAAGATGTGAGTTGTCTCCAGAGTTGCGAACGTTCGGGCCGTCCACGTAAACTTAGTTTTAAAGAGGAGGCGTACATGGTACGTAAAATAAAAAAAAATCCAAAGCTGACTTCAACAAAGATTGCTGCGGACCTTACGGAAGAATTAAAGAAACATGTGCATCAAAAAACAGTGCAGCGTGTGCTTATTGGTAACGGGTACAAATCCAGAAAAGGCTCGAAAAAAACCTCTTATCAGCAATGCCAACAAAAAAAACCGTTTAGAATTTGCTAAAGAGTATAAAAACAAATCTATGGATTTCTGCGACAAAGTACTGTTCATAGACGAATGCAAATTTAACATTTTCCAAAGCGACGGTCGAATACGGGTCTGGAGAAAGGCAAATACTGAATTTGACAAAAACAATATTAGTAATACCGTAAAGCATGGAGGTGGTGGAGTCATGGTTTGGGCATGAATGACGGCGTCAGGCGTTGGGAAATTAGTATTTATTGATGGAGTATTGGACAAAACTTTATATATTTTTTGTTACTATAAAATCTGTTTTATTTTCAGCAAGATAATGATCCCAAACATACAGCTTATGACGTTTGTATGTGGATCATTCATCACGTTCCCCACGTTATAGCAACTCCTCCACAATGACCGGATTTAAATCCCGTTGAAAAGCACAATGTAACAAGTAAAAGCCAACTAAAAGAGGTATTGCAGCGTGAATGGGCCAATATTGGATCTAAGGTGACAAGTAAATGGTGCATTCCACGCCAAATCGTTTAAATCACGTTGTTAAAATTAAAGGTTTAAATACCCGTTAAAAAATCTGCATTTTCTTTTCTATATTTAAATAAAAGTTCTAACTGTGCCAAAAATTTTTGTCCACCGACATATATTCGTTTTTTATTTAAATGATTATAACAAAACAACCACAGACATTAAATAAATGAAATTGAGCATAGTGATAGAACACATAAAGGAGAGTATATGACTAAAACATTATTTGAACCTACCTTTTATATTAACAGATCTACAGAGAAATCAAAAACCAAAACCCTCTGTACCAAAATTTTTGTCCGTCAGTGTATATTCATTTCGCAGAAGTTCAATATAATGTAATACTACCGACAACTTTTGATACTATGGCCTCTGATGTGCTAAAGAGATTGCCATTTATACCAGGGATAATGGGATGCCCAACTCTTTCCAGTGTGAGAGCGCCTCTTAGCGTTTTTTACAACATTTTCCATTGTAGCCAGATCGGACAAAATAATAATTTTTGGGAATTTAAATTAAAATACCCATCATTTATAAAGATTAAATATTATTGTACATGTAGCCGTTAAACATATGCAGAAACTTTTTATACTCTTTTTTTGTGATTTTGTGGTATATTAAACAATTGATTTTTGAGCTTTCAATACGTAATCAAAAGAATAAATGTATTATGTATTTTCAATTGAAAATCAATACCACTTATCATGACATCATAAAAGATATCACATACATTTCAATTTCGTGTTTTCTTTCATTTTCATTGTTTTCCAATTTTTGTTAGTAATCTTCAACAGCAGCACAAATCTCTCTGTTTACATATTTTTCTGTAGGATTTTAATCTGGCCGTTCCTCTTTTTCCAATTGCTAAACGTCAGACCTACTGAACTTTCGACAGTTGCTTGAGTTCAGTAGGTTTTGACGTTTATCAATTGCGCTCTCGTTTCCAGTGAGAGACAAGTTGGGCATCTCTTTATCTCTGATTTATACATTGCATGCATCCTATGGCATAATAGCGAAGGGGCAATAAAAACATTTGTAAATATTTCCATAAATAAAGGGGTCAAATTTATTTATATAAAATTTAACCAAGTTGGTTTGCTTTGAATTCCTTGTCATATACACCCCAGAATTTGCCACGCCAGTTGTTCAAAAATGAACATGAAATTTAGTTTTATTATTTTACATATTAAGATAAGAAACATGTTAATATATACAGTCCACTAATCATAAATATGTATGCTCATATATATTTAACAGGCATACATACATACATAAGCAAACAAATATACACTCATATGATAACTTGTAGACCTAAGATATATATTTAGGCAATTGATTACAAGTGCACATGTTGTGTACTTGAAAACAATTCCATAACATGTAGCATAAACAATGTGCTACATACATACGGACATACACACACACACACACATGTATTGAGTTGTACTTAAAAACAACCACACATACACATACATATGTATACTTTTAATTAGATAGTAAGATTTGTAAATAGTATATAAGCGATACATTTAATAAAATAAAATCAGAATGAATAAGCAGCTCAATGAAGTCTTCTTCTGTTTCCCACCAGCGGTAAGACAATTAGAAAATTTATTGAGTTTAAATATTTGGTCTTACACCAGTTCTTTGCTCAGACGGAACGTGTTCCGTAACTCTACGGGATTATAAATTTGGAAAAAGTTTGAACGATTAACACATTTTATTGGCGACGATCTGTAACTATATTCTAGATGTCTTCGATGTCGACATCACTTTTAATATTAAATTCGCAAGACATTTCAAGAAATTATCAATGAAAGCAATTGTGCCCTAAATTGCATGATATACTTACGTATGTTGCGGAAGTGTAAAGAAATATTTTCTGTTAATGAGAAGAGTCCTTTAATAGGAAATATATACATACATATATATTTTATACATTTTAATTTTAGCTTTACTATCATATGATTTAACCGAAGTTCTTTACTCTTTTCAGATGACTTTAGGAGCAGTAAATGAAACGAGTAGTTTTAGAGGCTTTCGAAAGCAATTCAGTGGACGATTCAAACGTTTTGTTTTGAAACAGCCGAAAACATCTAATTCAACCATTCCTCCTGAACTCAAACCACAATTAAAAGCTATATACGTATATTAAAAAATCCAGAGAACCCTGAAGATGTCATAATCTTGAACTCGATTCTTATATGGAAATTTATCTGGATAATGCTTAAGAACGAAAAAAAGTGTTGTTTTTTTCTTAATTACATAATTTAGTATGAAACTATTTTCAGATGTAAATATGAATTTGTATTGTAGTAAATACCTATGGTTCTTCTTCCTAAGCAAATAAAATGACTGAAAGTCAAACTTCAATAGCTTCATTAGTGATTAACTAAAGGCATCAACTCTTTTGTTCTGTTGTTAATTTTATCTCTGTTTCTATATTAGTCGTGTCTTCAAGATAATTCAAGTTACATTGTTTTCACATATTACAATACCACACATCTGCACTTTACATTCAATCAATATTGCCTTTCTGCTCCCCATTGTTGACTCATACTTTTATTAAATTTTATTTTAGTAAATCGTGTTCGAAAGTCGAGATCGACCGCGCTTCTGCACCAAATAGAAGAAGTGTTGTTGATGCTGGTTCCAAGACACGAATGCGCTGACTGTTTATTTGACGGCTGTAGATATATCCTCTTGTCCAGACCCATTCACTTCGCTTCTTTATGTAGCCTGGAGAAAGCAGAATTAACGGTGCGGTTGTTAAGGTCAATAATATCGCTATATACCAGTATTAGTACACTTTGTGAAATATTGTACCTTGTCTATTAAGCTCGGCAGCTTTTATTATTTTCTCCAGCATCAGGTTAAAGAAATTACATCATAAGGCGAGTCCTTGTCTGAAGCCTCGTTTAGAATGGCTCTGAGAGGTTCGTCTGAATTCTGACTGCGCTTTTGGTACTGTCCAGCGTCAGTTTACATAATCTCATAAGTTTTGCAGGGATACCGATTTCAAACATACCGGCATAGAGGCAACTCATTTCTGTGCTGTCGGAGGTAGCTTTAAAATCGATTAAAAGGTGATGTGTATCGATTATTTTATCTCGTCTTTTCCTATATTAGGCGTATAGTGAATATCTGGTCAATGATGAATTTACTAGTGAAGCCACACTGATAAAGTCCAATCAGTTCGTTAACAACAGGCTTTAATCTCCCACACAGTACGCTCGTTAGGACCTTATGTTATATGTTGAGAAGGCTTACCCCACGTTACTTGGTGCAGACTGTGGAGCCCCATTCTTGGGCAGAAGACATTTAAGAAGCACCTCGTCAGTTCTTCGCCACCTTATTTGAATAGTTCGACCCGGGTTTCAGGTTCACCATCTCCGGTTGTTCACTGGCGTTCAGCAGATTGGAAAAGCGTTCCATCAATAAATTCAGTATGCTCTGGGTCCGTTCTGCAAGTCGCCGCATCATTTCAGAGAATTTTCCAGCATTACCCATGTTGGCCAGCCTTTCAAGTGTGTGTGGTCGATCGCAACGTTACGCGGTATACAGTCTGCTTTTTGCGCATTACAATCCTCATCGTACCAGCTCTTTTGCCTTCCAAGGCAACTGTGTCTGCAGCTGCAGTGCGTAGTGTGATTGAGATGCTGTTAATGAGTGCTCTCACATAGTAGGTGTGCAAGTCTAGTAGAAAACTACTCGGCTATCTGTTGTGATGGAGCTTTCGACGTCGAGCCTTCCTGGTTTTTGATAATAGAGGTTCTTTGTACTTGTTCTTGCTGCAACAAGATAGTGATCCGAGTCGTTATTTGGATCTCTGCACATACGCACGTCTAGAACACTGGAAATGTGTCTTCCGTCTACAACAACATGATCGATTTGGTTGCGCGATTTTCAAACCGGAGACAGTCAAATATCTTGATGGATTTTCTTGCACCGGAATCTAATATTACAGACAACCATATTTTGGGCCCAGGCGAAGTCGACCAGCCTCAGCACATTTGGGGATGTTTCGTAATGGATGCTGAATTTTTTGACTGTTGTGGTAGGTTGAAAGTTGTAGTAAATTTGACTAATCTTTCTTTCTAAGCTTTTTTAGCTCAGTTATAAATGGGTCCTTACGTACAATAAAAGAAGTGAATTCAACATGTCGGTGTTTGTTATAATGCGTGACAATTTTCGGCTGTGATTGAGTCTACTATTCTTTAATACCTTATTGTTCGACTATGAAGCTTCTTCCAAAAATTCTCTTTTTGGCCTGTAGTCGTCAAATAGTACTATGTATACTCTTGAATCAACTCCCTAGCAGTATCGACATATTCATAAAATTTGTCCAAATTCATTTTGAACGAGGCAATAGCTTGAAGTATAGTAGCTCAACGATGGATGAGATTTTCATTAAATTTTGGATTTAGGGGACACAATTAAAATTGTATGTAAACAAATTAGATACGCATACAAAAGGTACAAACAAACAGGTGACTTAAAACACTAATTTCACAAAAACAAATCAGTCTTAATTAATTTCATAAGATAAAATAATTACCTTTAACTTCAAAATCCATCAAAAATAATTTCGATTTTCAGCGAAAACCGACTTGGAAATAAAAAGATCCGACAATTTAGTATACATTTTGACAGAAAATTCTGAGACAGATTTTTGGCCTTTGCGGGGAACCACTGTGCTTTGGTTGATTTTTCGTGGGCAGGTTTTTTTTTTATATGGTGGGTCCCAAATCCGACGCACAACCGCAAAGGGCTCGCTTACTCATTTTTGTCGGCTCCAAATGCGGTTCTTGGATACTCAACAGATACCGGAAGTCGTGAACTGCTTGACCCATATGTACAAGGATTGTTGGCTACTCCGAGGTGTATTGCAGTTAAAAACTGCATATAAGAACTAAATTTATTACATCAAACTTTGTTGTAGCAGAAGAAATATTTTAATTAAATATCGGATTAATGTGTTATTGATTAAAACTAAACAATTCAGTCTATTTTTTTCATTTGAAACCTGCCTGAAAATAACAATTCGTATGTGAAATTTATGAGCTTCTCAAAAAATTTAATATTTAGATAATGTTTGTTTACCGCATTATTCATCGTTTTTCCCAAACGTCTACAGTTGATGACAGAAAGAGAAATGCTCCTCCTCGCGTGGTTGGAACCAATTCAGCCATAAAACTGTTTGCGAACGCATGCGCAGCAATCCTCGTTAAAACCATCGACCCGATCAATGTCACAAGACTTATTCGAGATGATCTCCACATGAAAGCCTATCGTCGGTCAACTGGTCAATGGCGACAATGCGCTCGAAGCAAGGTGTATAATAAATAGCGCAATACTGCAACTCTTTACTAACTTTATATTCTGTTGCCGATGCTCAGCTGATGGTCTGCTACAATATTGGAGTAATTGCATATGTATATCGCGCAGAACGTGTTACTTAGAAAGATGGTTTAATATATTAAAAAAATAATTAAATTAAAATTTTAATTAAATTTGTTTATTTTGAAGTCCCAAATACGGGATTTAAAAGAGAAAATTCAAATCCCGAATACCGGAATGGAAAAAAAATTATTCCAAATACGGCTTAAAAAAATTTATTATTATTATTAAAAGCAATACAATTTTTTAATTTAAAAATTCTCATCCCTGCTTAAAAATATGGAAATTTTAACGTGTTTATTTGCTGACGAAATTTTGGAAAATGGAGGTGACAGTTTTTTGATAGATACGGACAAAAGAAAAATGTATAGAAAAATTGTATTAAGTTTTATTTTATTTCGCCACATTATCATTATAATAATAATAAAACGGGAATAATTCCCTTTTTTAAGATATTATATATTGAAGCTCTAGACATTCGGGTTCGAGTATGAACTACAACTTTATTATATATACATAGTTATTCCCTCAGCCGGAACAACTGGAAACTGATTTCTTTCAATTGAAATTTGTTCATTTCTTTTATATTGAAAAGATTTTAGAACTTTTTCAATTGGTGTCCAAGAACTTTCTAGAGGATGAGGTTTTTTGGATCGTGCTATCAAACCAACAGAAGGTTCCAAAAATTTAATCCACAGAATTGTTGGAAAAGAACAATGTAAATCAATTTGCATAAGTTGTCCAGCTGCCCCATTAACCAAGCTATCACACGTGTTTATGTTCACTGTAATCATATATTTGGCGGAGGTTTTTAGTGTCAATTCATAGGGCAGTCCCTGCGTTTCAGAAGTTTTGAAAAGTTTAACTCTTTACAAAATATTCTCATGTTCACTTATACCAATTCCTTTAACTGAATCTTTTGCAGTTGAAAGGATCGCTTCAGTTGGGATTCGACTGAGCTTAAGGGCATTGAATTCATTTGTCTCTTCATTGGACCAAAATAAATGTATGGTGTCATCGGGAACTTCCTCGAAATTAACTACTCGAGTTTCAATGAGTAAAATGTGTCATAGTACCAGATGCCATATGGTTTACTGCAATTGCAAAGGCCTGATCCTCCCGTTGTCTCATTATCTCTGTTAATTCAAAGTATTTAAATAACTCCCACAAAGGGGAACCAACTAAAGTGCTGTATGCATCATTGGGATTAGCAGAGAATATCCACCTATCTCCAACAGGTGAGAGTTGCTTCAAATCACCAAACACTATGATCGGTATACCACCGAAGGGGCTGTCTGATTTGAAAATTTGTTTTAATCTCGCATCAACAGAGCTAAACATACGAGCACATACCATCGATATTTCATCAATTATGATTAATTTTAAATCGATAAGTCTGGAATACAATGAATTAACTGTGTCATTGCTAAGTGGCCTCAACTCTCTATTCAACTGATTAACAGGTAAATAGAATATTGAATGAAGGGTCATTCCACCTATTCCGAATGCTGCTTTACCCGTAGGTGCGCAAAGAAGAACTTCCAGGTGTAGAATTGTAACGATGGTTAAGAGCTTGATATATTGCAGATATCAAACGACTCCTTCCTACAACTGCACCGCCGCCAATGAACTCATAAAATGGGCGATTTGTTTTTAGCTGGTGCATCAAATGTGTCAAATAGGTTATTTGCTTAGTATTTAGACTTTGAACTAAAGAAAATAATTCCTCAACTAGAATTAAAGAGGGTAGTTTAATAAGTCTAATATTGCAATCAGATTCAGTGCCATTATCTGTTGAATCTTCGCCATGCAAGTCCAGCAAATTAATATTTGGGTTTATTTCTGGAAGTGGCAACACTCTGAACTCATTTTCCACGATAGGTAGTTCATTTTGAGCACCTTCGTCCAAGTCTATTTCATTATAAAGACTTTCTAGAACATTTTCAAGTTCTCTTTGCTCAAAAACATCTTATTTTCTTTGATTTTCCTCAATTATAATACGATGTGTTATGCAAGTCTGCTCATTATCGTTTTCAATGAGATCTTGCTGTTCATTCCACCAAGGATAGTAAAGCATTAACATTTCGCGGAAATACTCAATTCTGGCCAAATCTGGGTTAAACCTTCTATACCGAATAATACAAGGTTTGGTACGTTTTTTCACAAAACCGCTACCGTCTTTAAGAGGCATGACAATCCCGCTTTCTGGTAAATTATCGTCTTCCCTCTCTTCTTCTTCATGATCACTATTTTATGCTCTTCTACTAGATTTAAAATATTTAGGCCTAGATGCAAAATCAGCTAAACAAAGAGTTTCTAACTGATCGGATCTTTGAACATAACGGTCTAAAATACCGGCTACGAATATTTCAGTCGAACCTGAAGGAAGGTTCTGAAGTTCCGCTTTAGGTTTTACCATTCGAACACGTTCCTCAGGTCCAGAGGTCTTTATAAATATTTCTGCATTACTTGCTTCCGAAAGATGAAACCCAATGCAGCAATATGCTGCTTCTTGTGCAGATATTTCTGTGCTTGATATAAATTTGTGACCTATATGTTTAGGTTTTTGCTTAATAGTATAATTTCCAGCATTTACCTCTGATATAGCTTCATTTAAGAGCCTAGAAATTCCCCTGTTAGACTTGTTAATATAATTAATTATATATGAACAGCAAGCATATGCATCCAGTATATATTGGATATCCATATTTGCTCTATGGAGTTCCAAAATCAGAGGATCATAAGCGTTTATAAAACGATCCTGTAATTTTCTTTTTAGAAAAATTTTGGGTTTTGTTAAACTTGACCTAAGGGCTAACAAATAGTCATCAAAAGACATATTTATTCTACTATCAGACAGGAAGTGTTCAAAATCGTTTAAATTAGAAATGTCTTCTGTAGTCATATTTGAATTTAAAACGTTTTGAATTTTGAAAAAGTTTTCCTTGTGTCTTTCTGAGTTTTGACTTGTTTCTGTAAGAGGTAACAGTATTTGCGTTGAAGGCATTGGTGGATATGGTATACCAAAACGACAAAACTGTTGTCCTCTTATTTCCCTAGTACAAGACCGACTGTGGTTATGCTTTTGATAACCCAAATAATTTTCTAAGTGGCTGATCGAACCATCGGTAGAAATATAATTGTCAATAAAACTAATGACATCAGGGAATGTCTGAGGATCTTGAAGGTTGATCCTGGGAGCATTATTAAGCCAATACATTCCATGTACATGCGGGAAACCTCTCTGTTGAAACTCCACTCTCCAGTAGAAATTTGTAACAAAATGCTCTCCAAAAATGCCGGCGTTATCTTTAAAAAGCTTAAGAATTTGTCGATAGCGGTAGTCAAAATATCTAGCACAAGTAACCGCGTCTGACCGAATTAAGCGATATCTATCTTGGGTTGTTAAACTGTTGGCTTCCTCTTCCGAAATATCTTTAGAATCAACAGTTTTAGAGAGGATGACCAAAAGCTCAACCCACTGAGATTCTGCAGCCGATAAAGTGATAAAGAAGGTTGGAAGCCCAAATTGGCGAATCATAGCGATTGCCTTTTTCTTCTCAGCTTCCCAGTGCGCAGGTGAGGATCTAACGCCTTTCAAAACCTTGTAACCATCATCGTGTTGAATCAAGTTTTGAACAAAGTTTTCGTTTAATAGATTTTGGGCCGTAACTCGGCTGCGACCTGAAAACTTTCTAAGCCAAATGGATGTACTATTCTTAATTTGTAATTTTTTGTAATCATAGAATAACTTTGGAATGGTACACGCTCTTCTGTCAAAATGGCGAATTTCAGAACGTATTATCTTGCTGTACGTTCCAGAGCATGTACGCTTCTGCCCTACGTATATTGTTCCAAGTGGAAACTCTTCTGAATTATTATCTTGAATTATGTCAATTGGTCTTTGTCCTTCACCTGGCGCTATAACTAAACGGTTATAGCCTAAGTTTTCTACAGGAATATTGTCCAAAAGAGTTTCTTGACCGCCTGGATTTAGCTCTGAAGGTAAAAGACCCGTGGGAATATTATTACCTGAGGGATTATCATGAGAAGTTTGTGCCGCATGAAAAGATTGAACCAATCGGGAATCCTCTGCAGATGCAACAAACGGAACTTCTTCTTGGTTATTAAATTCTGAAATCCAGTTTTCATTAATAAAGGTTGGAAGGTATCTCCCTTCCGCTTTTTTGCTCTTCATTTAATGCTTTATAAAAAGTGTTACAGTGATCGGATTTAGTTAAAATATGCGCCGTTTTGTTCGATGATCTGTTTCCATCTAGACGACAACTTCATAATACCTTCCTCGTAGAAGCCCCCCTCCTTATTTGCGAAGAATTCGGACAGCCACTTTTCACAAGCCTCTTTTGAGTTCAAGTTCACACCACCAAGGGCATTTCCCATGGACAGGAACAGGTGGTAATCACTTGGCGCTACGTCCGGGCTATATTGTGGATGCGATAAAACCTCCCATCCGAGCTCCCGTAGCTTCTGACGAGTCATCAACGAAGTGTGTGGTCTGGCGTTGTCCTGGTGGAACACTACACCCTTCCTGTTGGCCAATTCTGGACGCTTCTGGTCGATCGCCTGCTTCAAGCGGTCCAGTTGTTCGCAGTAGATGGTAGAATTAAGCGTCTGGCCATATGGGAGCAGCTCATAGTGGATGACTCCCTTCCAATCCCACCAAACACACAGCAAAACCTTCCTGGCCGTCAATCCCGGCTTGGCCACTGTTTGGGAGGATTCACCGGCCTTCGACCACGACCGTTTTCGCTTGATATTGTCGTATGTGATCCATTTTTCGTCGCCAGTCACCATCCGCTTCAAGAATGGGACGAGTTCGTTCCGTTTCAGCAGCATATCGCAGGCGTTGATTCGGTCCAGAAGGTTTTTTTTTGCGTCAAATTATGCGGCACCCAAACATCAAACTTTTTTTTGTATCCAGCCTTCTGCAGATGGTTCAAAATGGTTTGGTGACTAACTTCCATCTCCTGGGCGATGTCACGAGATGCCATATGCCGGTCTAACTCGATGTATTCCATGATTTGATCGGTATTTGTCGTCACAGGTCTGCCGCCGGCTGGCTTATCCATGGTGTCGTTTTCACCGGCTCTGAATCGTCGAAACCATTCCTCCGCGGTTCGAAGTGATAGAGTACCATCCCCCAAAACACCATTAATCTCACGGAACGTTTCTCTAGCGGATTTGCCTTTAACGAAGGAAAACTTTAAAATAGCGCGAATTTCGGCGTTAGTGAACTCCATGTTTACACGTCTATAACTGTTGAACGCAATATCCAAACTAATCATGCATAGCGTTGTTTTGTAGGTTATGTCAAGACCTTTCAAATTATGTATGGTGTTGCCAGATACGAGCTCTGTAGCGCTTTGTACATAGCCGCGAAATTCAAAAGACAAAAAAGCGGAAGGGAGATACCTTCCAACCTTATATGTCGCTTGTAGTCGAGCTACTTCTGCAGAAGGTCTATTCATCATAGAAAATTTTATTCCTCCTAACAAATTTTCTGAATCGGATCCCGTATTTAGGGAACTGAGGGAATTTAACACAAACAAAGCTTTGACAACAACCAACAGAAATAAACGGGGCATTATAATATATGCAAAGCATAGTATTGTTTGCTCTATAGAATCAAAGGCTGTAAAGAAAATTTATTCAGGCCGCAAAGTTTTAGAAGCGGTTTTGTTTAAATGTTTCATAATTAATATTCTGGTTCTATATAGAAATTCAGCTTTCTCTGTCAGACAATTAATTGTAGAACTTCAGGAAGTCCTTACTTCTGAGTTAGGCAATCAAAATGTGCTAATTGTTGGAGATTTTAACATTTGTTTAATGTCTACAGGGACTGTAATAAGAAATCTGATCCAAGAAAAAAACTTTACTTCCCTGCTTGGTGCAGAATATTCAACTACACCTGCCGGTACACAAATTGATTGGGCATTTTCAAACATGGATCCTTCCCGTGTAAATGCAATTACTTTTGAGACAGTACACAGCTATCATGACAGTATTTGTGTCTCTATTTCGAACTAAAGTTTTCAGACTTAGTGCAATAGTTTATTTTTTTCCCAAACATAATCGAATTGGAATGGTATAGGAATTTTGACAGTAGTTTTTAAGACAATTTTAAGAAAAATATGTAAATAATCTAATTAAGAATATATGACATTATTGTATAAATATATGATAGAAATTAAATAGTATAAGGAAAAAAGAAATATAATTTGGATATATGTATAAGAATCTCTACAAAAATTTATGTTTAATATTGTAAATATTATATACAAATTAATATAATAATATTTTATCATTTTTAAAGTTGTTAATATTTATTATTTTTAAGCTAAACATGTATAATAATATCGATATAATAAATAAAAAATGTTATTCTTTGTCCAAACACGATTTCTTTTCATACTTCTCAATACAGTTTTAATGCATTCTATATAAAATCAATTATAAGCGTATACAAAAAGCACAAGAACGATTTCTCATAATTTGAGTAAATTTAGTTTACAAATTGCTCTAATTATTTTCACTGTGAGTGAAAAGTAAATAACTAAGGCAACAGTTCCTACTTCTAATTAATAAAATATATAAAGAAGTCTCAAACGAATATACCATTTAACATTGCGAGAGTATTAAATGTTCGGTTACATCCGAACTTAGCCCTTCCTTACTTGTTTTCCTTAAATTTGTCACAGAATAGTAAACTGATTGTCAAGTCTTAACTAAGTTTTTAAACAATGTATGGGGTAGAGATCGATCGAAAAACGAGCAATATTAATGGGATGATGAACAGTTGTGGTATGTTGTGTTATCCTAGGTGGTGTAAAATTGCAGTGTCCTCAGATATTGAGTGTGGTGGTATCATTACGTATCATGACGTGGTGCATGTTGTATGTCCATGTTGTGTAATGTATCGTGGTGAGTTTTGCTGTGTAGTGTGGTATATCAGAGGGGGAGGCTTTGATCAATTAATCAACCGGCACCGGACATGATCTTACAAATAGGAGTTTCGAACATTTTTCATGAATACAAAAAACAAGGAAATAAAACAATATATATAAAATTTGTATATGAAAAAATTCTTGAAAGGCGCCGCTAAAAAATATTGTGTTGTATTTTATTTAACTAATGTTTTTTATTTGTCGCTATTGTGGAATAGAGGTAAGTATTAAAGAGATATATGAATCTTAAATGTAAAAGCAAAAAAATTAAACAATTCTTAAAGTAAACTTTATGAATTTGTTTGTTTGTATTTTTAAAATTCATTTGATTATGAATATATATTTTAATACAAAAGAAAGGCAAAATTAGTTTAACTCGAGAATACATAATAAATATATTTTATAACTTCAATATATAAATATATAATACCACTATTTATTTATACATTGATGTCAATTTTGTACATTCACTAATGTTCTTATTTGCTTACTTATTTTGAAATTATGTACATTTGAATTCGTATAAACGAGCATATATGAATGCGTTGTACATACATCATCCTCATGCCTCGCGTGACTAATTAAAAAAAAACCTAATCGTTCAACACTTTCTGTGCATGCCTATGAAACTTTTGACTGCAGCAATTGAAGCTAATCAATTGTCACCTCTGATAAAACGTTAAGGTTATAAGTTTTGATGGCTGAAGCAACATGAATTTTAGTGAACCATTCAGAGATTTCACCAGAACTGCTTGATTAGCAGAGGGTATAAAGTATATGAAATGTTTGTGCATTTTGTATCTCCACCTTAAAAGCTTAGGCAATAGTCTTTGTATGAAGCGTTCCTCTGATGAAAAATTAAAGAATGTTATATGTTAGAATACCTCATTCTAAGTTATAATATAAAAATAATATTAAAAGTCGGACCTATGTGCTCATATTGTTCACTCATTTAGCATTAATTACATGAACATTTCTTAAAATCATTAAATTAAATACTATATACCGCATCTCGCGAATTACAACCAGTATATTGTGTTTATTGTGGTTATTGGAAATTAATGAATTGACAATTTAACGATTTTTTTTAATCTATCCTTATAAAAATATCTTTACTCATTAGCCGGGCTATAACTCTCTAACTGTTAGTTCAAAAATAATACTTACAAATATGCAAATAAAGTGAATAGCTTTAGTTCCATTCAACAAAAACAAAGGTAATCAAGAGATATCAGTATCTTTAGTGTTAAAAGTAATAATTTTTAATAGCATATTCCGCATTCTTTTTTACTGTTAAAAAAAGGGTATGTGTGTTATTTATATAATTAAAGTAAGCTTATAACATTATTATTAGTATCAATAATTTAGTTTAAAATAATAGTATTACACATAACACTTCTCCTGGAAATGTATATTATGGGACACAATTATGTGCATTTTGGAATAAAGAAGTTTTGACTTATCCTTAAGTACTTCTCTAACTTTCTGTAAGATTCTTCACGTAATAAATTTGATGATTTAGTATATAAAATAAAATACAAATTACATTACTTCGCAATTTAAGGATTCAATATGACTTGCCTTTCGAACTGGCTGGGCAGTGTTGATGCCTTTAGTTTTATTGTATTATTTTTATTTTAAAGGTTAGAGATCAGGCGATATACTGCCCTTAAGTTCTTACTAGATGAAAACGCTTTAAGTTTACTATGAATTTTTAGTATCAATTTGCACTAGATACAGTTGTTTTGGTGAATTACATGCGAAAAATTCTGTGCCTAAAACGTTGTTAGAATCACTGCTTACCAATCTTTTACCATTAGTGGTTTCCTTGTGTTTCATAAAAAAATACATACAAGGGGGAAGACGGCATTTGATTAATTTAAATGAGGTCCCCGGCTTTCACTTATAAACAACTATGAAATCCAATGAAAATGTTCGAACATTTAATTTGAGAAAGATAAGAACCTATATTTTTTTGCTAAAGAAACTGTTCAATTGAGGGTTTGGTTGATATGGAACTTGACGTGGAAGCTGAAAGCAAAAAAAATATATAATCAATAAACACAACGTCAATTATCATTACCGTATCACCTTTAAATAAACCTGCTTCACATTCATTAAAAATAATATTAGTATTGGAAAACAATCGATACTGCTACACATAAATATCTAAATGGAATATGTGACTAATTTATAATCTCAAATATAATAATACTGGTACAAGTTAATTGTGTAACCGTAAATAATTATTAAATAATATAACGTCCAATATGAATCATTAGTGTAATTTAGCTTTAATGTAAGAATGAACCATGACAAAATACCAAAACTATTTTTCATAAATTCAATAATTATTATAATTTGAAATTAAATTATATGTTATATAATTATTTTTTTGAAAATACATATTACAAAAACAAAAGTATATAAATAAGTTTTTTCAAAGTATTTTAATGTTTAAATTTAAAAACAGAAAAATGTAATTTATATAAAATAACGCAAATCTGACCAAAACTGAGTTGTTTTTTTTTTGCTATCTTAAAACCGAACAACAAACCAGTAATATCAGAATAAATGAAATCTATATCAATAATTTTGATCGCTTTCTAAGTTGACTCCGACAACTATCAGATTTCAGAACAACCCTGAATGTTTTGTTGAATCGTAAGCAGGCTCATCTAGAGAAAATTAATACCATCATTACCTGCAATTTCGTCCTTTAAATTGTTTGCTTGGCAGCTTAAGTCTGAAGAATTCGAAATGTTAGGATCTTCTAAGTTTGTTTTATTCGATGACGTCGGCGGTAAATCGTTAGATGTTACTACTGGTACAGAATTATTGTGTCCCACGTCATGCTGATTCTTTAATTGTCATTTCACCAACTCAATAGATAAAAATCTTTTAAGCCGCTCAAAGTATTGCGAATGCAATTCCACGTCATTATGGCCAGCACCCTATAAAAAATATTATTATTAAATATATGGTAGTTATTAAACCAAAATGTTGGTAAGAATAAAATAAACATAGTTTTTTCCTTAAATTTAACTGTGGATGTAATTTTTACCGAATACTATCCTGGAGATGGAGCCTCACAGGCTCCTATGTTGACAAGTGATATAAGTATAACATTATATTAAGTAAATACGTAGCTTAAACAACTCTTTTTTTATAAAGCTAGCCCTGCCTTGCTCGAGTGTAACCGAACATTCATAATCTTGAAACTTCTAAGGATTAAAGGCGGGGAAAAAGCTTCAGGTGTTAAAAAACCTTAATTTTTTTTAAATGTAGCGAAAGAATTAAACATTCATTGTTCGACGAAATCGTGAATGGCTTCCAATCAAACTTAATATATTTTATTATTAATTTATATTATAGGTGATATTCTCACACCTGATTTCATCCATCTATTCACAAAGTAAGTATTGATCCACAACCCATTTTTGACATATTGACATATTAAAAGAGGATTCCCTCCGAAATTCATTTATATATGTTACAGATTGACTTCATATATTTTCGATAAGTAGTTCGCAACAGGAACTGGGTACACCTTAAAGGCACTATTCGTGCAAAGTTTTATTTCGATATATTCATTGGTGCTTAATTTGTATACTGAAAAGTGAAAGAATTTAAAATTGGTTTATATGGGAAATAGGCGTGATTTTAATCCGATTTCGCTTATTTTCGGACTGTCAGGATAATAATAGGTAACTACCCAATTTGGTTGAAATCGCTTTAGTAGGTCCCGAGATATGGTCACACCTAAATGCGGGCGGTACCACGCCTATCGTCAGATTTGTGACCGCATTCAATTATAGATTTATTGCACTGTTATTAGTTTTTAAACAAACCGTTATATAGGGAGTGGGCGGGGTTACAATCCGAATTCACCCATTTTCACAGGGTGAGTAGGGATGCCAAAAATATTTGCTTACATTCAACTTATTAGAGGGCGGGGTCACGCACACTTTTTAAAATTTTTTAAACCTTAGACGCCCCGCCCTAATGCAATTCGTTGTACTACATAACAGCCTTGTGTCTTATTGTGGAGCTTAGTTATGGCACTTTATAGGTTTTCGATTAATGTGGTTTTGTGGGCGTGGCAATGGGTGCCAAGGAACATGTGTACCAAACTTCATTGAGATATCTCAATTTTTACTCAAGTTATCGCTTGCACGGATGGACAGACAGAAAGTCACTGGTCTCCTCATCCTGATCATTTATATATCTATATATGTAAAAATGAAACCCGTTTCCCGTTGTCACGCCATAACTTGAGAACTGCTAGACCGAGTTGGCTGTTTTTTTTTGTAGATTTCTAATACTCTGTAGAAGGTTCTTACGGAAAAAAATATTAAGAAAATGTCTCAGAAAGATTGAAAAAATACATTTAATTTTGCATATTTTAAAAAATGCGCGTAACGAATGTCATCGTCATTCACAGCCATAGACTATATTGAAAGAGCATCGTTTGTTCTAATCAAATTCTATCGCACTAATTTACAAATTTTTGAAAATTACTCGCCACAATTAAATGTACCGACTTTGACGGTCATATTAATATTACCAGTGATGATTTCATTTTAATGTAAGTATTTAATAATAATAAAATATGTATACTATGAGTTAGATTTCAGAATAGAAGTTAGATTTCATATACTAACTGCAACCAAATACGAAATGCCCTAAACTTCCAGCCAATTTCAGCACTATTGTACACGGACAAAATTAATTAATTGCCCGTATTTTCCCAGTCGCACAAAATAATTATTTAAATCATAACTGGCTCGGTAATCGAGCTAACAGGACAGAAAAAAATGCTGAAATTAGTTTTAATAATAACATTTTACTAAATTAAACTGCTTACTCAATATAATTTAATTATACCTTAGCCACAGCAAGGCGTGGTCTTGGTATTCTAGTATATATAATATATAAACCTATATCTAACTCGATTAGTTTTAGGTGATTCAAACAACCGTTAGGTGCACAAAACTATTATACTCTGTTGCAACATGTTGCAAAAATATAATTTAGATAGTACAGCCTAGCTACAACCAACACATGCACAAGTTGTCATTCTATCTTTTTTTGAGGGGCAAGTTTTGTATTCACTCCTAATTGCTTTATTAGTTTCTTGTGTCTGGTCTTCCATTGCAATCATATCTTTTCCCAAAATGCTTTATTAGTTTCTTGTGCCTGATCTTCTTATATCAATTTCAAACCCTTCCAAGTAATTCTCCTCAGAGGTCGGCAACAATGAACCAAAACGCAAATAAACAAAAACAACAAATAACGAAAACAAAAAATCGGAGAGAGCCCGGATCGACAGGAAAGAAGCCGGAGGGAGCGAGTTGCTCCCATAAAAGAGCAGCGTTTGGAGCGAGCTCAACAAACACGAAGAGGACAGGAGCGAAGCTTGGTCCTAAAGACAAGGCAAGCACTAGTAAAGGGGAAGAAGCTAAAGCTGGCCAACAGAAAGTGGTAGCGCCGGAGGCAGCCAGACCCAAACCCTGCGGCCAAAACACGGCTGAGAAGCAGGGGGAGGGAGTAGATGCCAAAGGGGCTGCTGCCGGAAGTGCATCTGCCAGGGAGTGGCCTGCATTTAGCATGCAGGAACCGTCAAAGGCAAAATATGCGGAGAGACGACGCGCCGCATACTTACTAAGGTTGGTAGAGCTAAAGCCGCCAACGAAAGAGGAGCTAACGCAGGAGCTCCAAGCATCGATTGACTGCGCGAGAGCAGTCATACCCAACTTCAAGTTGGAGCCGCCGGTAAAGGCAGCCAAGCGACAGAGGTCAGCTGAAGAGGCAAAGCCGTCAGCTAAGAGACCGAAGACCAAGGGTGTTACGCCCGCAAAATCATTTGCAGAAGTGGCCCGGAACCGAATTGTCATTGGCGTTCTGGATGAGGGAGATCCCGAAGGAAGAATCCCCAGAGCCCAATGTAAATGGGTGCAGGCTGCGCTGACAAATGTGGCGCTGGAAGTGCTATTAAGCAATCCGGGTCCGCCACCGTCATGCGCAGATGCCGGCTGGTACCAGGGCCATATCAAAATGATTGCTTGCGATGGCGAGAGATCGGTCGCTCTATACAAAGCTGCTATAGCCAAGGTGGGAGAGGTATACCCCGGGGCAAAATTGGTAGCAGTGGACAAGAAGGACATACCATCCAGACCAAGGGCAGGGGTATGGATTCCGGCTACACCATCACAGCCGGACCAAATTATGCAGCTCATAAGAGCCTGCAACCCGAGCCTACCCACGGAAGGGTGGAAGTATGTCAAGACATTTGAGGACAGCGTAGCAGAATCTGGCGTGGAGACCAAAAGGGCCACGATGCAGATTCTGCTGTTATTAACGAAAGAATCCATCGAACCGCTGGCGAAAAGTGGCGGGGAGATAAATTACGGGCTCACGAAAGTAAGGATAACGCCTTACAAGTCGGACGCCGATGCTGCAGACCATCTGGCATCGGGGAAAGAGTTATGCGAAGTAGAGGAAGATCCTATGGAGTCCTCGAGCGACGCGGAAAGTATGGAGCAAGGTGAGTGTTCTTCTTCCGGGTCTGAGCTTGCGGCCAGACTCTCAAGCTTGTATACTGAGAAAGAGCTTTTAAGCGACTCTCAGGAAGACGCAGATATAACAATAGTTTATGCGTCTTCTACAAATTAATCTCCATCATAGCAAACTAGCTTCCGCAGCCGTAATTAACCGCGTGGCAATGGAACAGCCTGAATTTGTCCTCATTCAGGAGCCATGGGTTAATGGAGGGCGTATTTGCGGACTGAGGACGCCGAACTATAAGTTGCTGATGGCTAACTGTGAAGGTAAAATCAGAGCCTGCATAATGGCAAAGAAAAACCTTAATGTTTTTATATTACATAATTACAGCAACAACGACACAGAAGCAGTAAGCTGGGGAATGGGCTCAAGCAGTTACCGGCTAGTGTCGTGCTATATGCCGTATGAGCAGGAGCTGGTGCCACCTCTGTTGGTAAAAGAGGTGGTACGGGATAGCGAGGCATCCAAGTGCATGACGATACTTGGATGCGACTCAAATGCGCATCACACAATCTGGGGCAGCACAGATGTAAACGACAGAGGTGAGTGTCTCTTTAATTACCTACTAGGTACTAAATTACTGGTGTGTAATAAGGGAAGCACTCCAACATTTATTACAAGAAACCGACAAGAAGTGCTGGATATCACACTTGTGTCGGAAGAACTAATTGACAGGGTAACCCAATGGAGGATTCTCGAAGAACATTCCTTTTCGGATATATCGAATGTATAATAGAGGAAAGGGCCGATAGAGGCATTAACTTTAGGAATCATAGGAGAACGAACTGGCAGGTGCACATGCAAGAGCTAGAGAAACGTATCCCTATGATTCTACCGTTTCAGTCCAATAGCAAGGAGGATCTAGATATCCTCGTTAATCGACTCACGGAATCGTGCCGGTAAGCACTAGAAGTGGCTTGTCCAATAACACGAAGCAGGGGTAGAATAAGGCCCCCCTGGTGGTCTCTAGAACTTAAAAAGCTACAGAAAGAATGCAGAAAGCAGTTAAATTTAGCTAAGCAATCCCAAGGCGAGTCAGACTGGGATTATTATTACAACCTCCTTAGGTCATACAAAAAGGAAGTTAGGAGAGCAAAAAGAAATTCATGGAAATCGTTTTGCTATGACATCGAGAACACGGCGGAAGCGTCTCGACTTAGGAAAATAATGGCACAATCGGTGCATAGTATCGGTTATCTTCAGAAGCCAGACCGAAGTTGGACGGTATCCAGTGAAGAGTCCTTGGGGCTACTAATGGATACCCACTTCCCAGGCAGCTCTGAAAGCCATACTGCAGAATATACTCAAGACAGTGGAGCAGAAATGAGCCCCACTCTCATAAACATAGTGTCAGAAAGCAACGTACGCTGGGCAATAAACAGCTTTAAGCCCTTCAAGTCGCCGGGATCAGACGGCTCAATTGCAGCAGTCGCAGAATTACATAATGAATTGGCTAATTGCCATTCTTAAGGGGGCGCTGCAATTAAACTACATCCCTTCGCTTTGGAGGGAGGTCAAGGTAATATACATACCAAAGGCAGGCTCGCATACAAGTCCAAAGGACTTCAGGCTAATTAGCCTCTCCTCTTTCCTTTTAAAAATCCTGGAAAGACTAATAGAATGACATATAAGAAATAAACTGAAACCAGAAAAGTTGGCTGGTTCGCAGCATGCGTATTCTAAAGGAAAATCCACAGAAACAGCACTAAGCACTGTGGTGGCGGAGATTGAAAAATCTCTGGAAGTCAAAGAATACACTCTATTTGCCTTCTTAGACATAGAAGGAGCCTTCAATAATATCCAGCCTAGGGCCATACTGAGTGAACCTCTCAGGAAATTAATTGAACAGATGCTCACGAGCAGGTCAATAATTTCAACGATGTGCAGATCTGTCCAAAGAGGTACACCTCAAGGAGGCGTGTTATCCCCACTTCTCTGGGTCCTGACAATGAATAAGTTGCTGATGGATCTAGAAAAGAAGGGGGTACATGTTGTGGCCTACGCTGACGATGTGGCAGTATCGGTCAGAGGCAAATTTCCGAATACTCTCGCAGACCTTATGCAAACGATATTGGACGATATAAATCGCTGGGCAGTATCGTGCGGATTAAATTTAAATGCTGGTAAGACAGAGCTCGTATTGTTCACCAGAAAACATAATGCTCCAGAAGTTCCGGCGCCAATAATAAATGGTTGCAGACTAACAATTGGATATAAGGCAAGCTACCTGGGACTAATCTTAGACAGGAAGCTTTCTTGGAAACAAAACTTGGATGCTAGGGTGAAGAAGGCAGCCACAGCACTCTACACCTGTAAAAGGATGGTGGGCCCCAAATGGGGACTTACACCTCGGGTAACTTATTGGCACTATACAGCAGTTGTCAGACCAATCATGACATACGGTATATTGGTATGTTGGCCAATAATGGAAAAGAAATACGCGGTAAAGCGTATGGAAAGCATACAGAGAGCAGCCAGTATATGCATTAGTGGAGCTCTTAGAACAACGCCAAGCCAGGCTCTTAACGTCATTCTACATTTACTGCCAACAGACCTGTTCTGTTAACAAGTGGCGGCAAAGTCAGCTCTTAGACTGAGGGAATCCTCCCAACTAGTCGCATGCAACAAGGGGCATTCAAGGATACTCAGTATATTCCCGTTCCTACCCAAAACCACAGATTTCCACAATCCAATAGAACGGATGCTAAATTCGGTCCACAATATTGCCTTCCCCACAAGAGAGGAGTGGAAAAGGCGCGAGGTGGACAGGAATACAGGAATTAGCATCTACACGGATGGATCCAAACTGGATAATCGAGTGGGAGGTGGTGTCTTTTGCGCAACATTAAACACCAATATCGCCTTCCGTTTGCCAGACCACTGCAGTGTCTTCCAGGCGGAGATCACAGCAATTAAAGAAAGCCTAGTGGTATTGACAAAAAGTGTGCTCACAACAAGGAGCATATATATATACACGGATAGCCAAGCGGCCTTGAAATCACTCAAGTCTCCAATGGTCTCATCCAAGCTAGTGAAAGATTGTCTTGATCTATTAGAGGATCTGACATCCTATTTCACAATAAACCTGCAATGGGTTCCAGGACATAGCGATATTCCTGGTAACTGCGAAGCAGATGAACTACCAGAATAGGCACCACTTTGCAACTAACCCCTGAAAAAGAGGGTATCTTTGTGCCTCTGGCAACTTGCAAACACTTAATCAGCGAACATGCTATAAATATAGCTGAGTCTCGGTGGAGACAATCAATAACCTGCACAACCAGCAGACTAACGTGGCAGGAATGGAGCGTGAGTCGCACAAACCGACTACTAAAATTTAAAAGGAATGATATAAGAACTCTGATAGGAGTACTAACAGGTCACTGCCTAATTGGTAGATATGCAAGTAGGCTAGGTGTACCATACAACGACTATTGTAGAAGCTGTCAAGAAGTAGAGGAAGAGGAGACTGTAAAGCATCTTTTATGCGAATGTAAAGCTCTATATAGGAAAAGAATCGCAACTATCGGTCGTGGATTCCTTGACGACGTATTAGAAGTTGCTAATATAAAATTATTTGTACTGATGAACTTCATCAGGAGCTCAGGTTGGTTCAGAGAGGAGACGATAGAGTGAGGGAACATTAGTCCCGGTGGTATCACAATAGGCCTCCTATAGGCCTAGGTGCGTCATTGGACAGCCACTCAACCTACCTACCTACCTAATTCTCCTCAGATGAAACGCAATTTCGTCAAAGGTTTTTTTAGTCCACGAAACAGTCATAATAATTTTTTTCCGCTATAGCCTTCAAGTCCTTCTTTGATTCAGTTTTTATTTTCTCAATCGAGTCAAAGCAGGCGAATACGGTAGTTACGAAACGATCTAAGTCGAGTGTTTGCTACAAAAAAAAACGGAAGAACCAACGACGCGTTTGAGACACAAAACATTCCTTAAAATGGTTTGGGCTGACCCACGCCGGTACAAGCTGATGGTCGTTTTGAGCTCGTTGTACCATAAACGTTTTTATAACGCTTGTATTAGCTTCACCTGTATGTTTGTAACTGTTATCAGTGGCACTGACAACAGAATCAACAGTTTGCTAGGCATTGCAAAAAAAAAACAAAATATTAGAATAAAAGTATGCAGCTAAAAGCTTCAACTATCCATCCTACAAAAAAAAAAACCTAAGTATGCAGCTAAAAGTATTAACTTCCATGCTGTCATTTGAATGAAAAATTTATTCAAACACATCCCTAAAGAAAGTGAAAACACCACGTGTGGCTAAATCATGAAAACGGTAGTAGTTTAAAAAACTGAAAAACTTGCTCTTAAAGCATTTAAGAAGTGAAAAATAATTCTTAACATAAACTACAAGTATCTTTCAGTCAATATTACACACAGTTTATATAATATTAAGAATTTTTAAAAGCGTGTTTTTTTTTTTTAAATTTTAAACTACATATGTCTGTATATTTATTTTGTGCCGTAGTTTGATCATCAAAGGTCTTCCGCAACATTTTTAAAGTATCCCCAAAAAAATATTCGTTCCTCAGAAAAAACTTGATGCCACTTCCTTGCTCAACAAAATCAACCAAATTAAAAATCGAAAAATTACAAAAACACGTGTAACTCAGTGATAATTAAACCTTTTGACAAGCTGACACTTTGCAAATGTTATAGACAGCCCTAACAACCTAGAAAAAAAAACTTACCTGCTTTCCTGATGCCTGGGAGTTATAGAACTTTCAGCCGTTTAAACTTAGTTCTAAAATTCCCATATTTTACATTTATCAATATCTGTCGCAGCATTTTATCGTCAAATAATTTAATTCAGATGCAGAAGGAATCTTTCACATCATTTGTCAGTTTTGAAAAAGAATCACGAAGACTGGAAGTGTGTGCCGATTATAGCGATTTTTGCCATAGTAAAACTAAGATAGAGGTTTATTAAATTAATAAATCAAAAATATTTCAAAAGAAAACAGTCCTTATAAACATGACATGTCTGCTACGAATAAATATAAGGGCTAACATACGTTCGGGCCCAATCGAACATTAGATAGTCTTCCACTTTTAAAATAAGTAAAGAGGTGTGAATAAATATTTAGAGAGTTCTACAAAACTTTGTTATAAACAAGTAAACAATTTTGCAATTTAAGGATAAAGACATGTGGAATGTTTCCAGGTTTTACACCATTAATAACTTACTATTATGCTCCTGTCTTGGGTGTTAAGAGTATCAGTATGTTGCTCTGGGAATTAAACTTTGTTACTAAGCAAAATTTAGCACTGATTGCGCTATCGTCGCAATTCTTAGCTTCATTAAGATATCTTAAGAATGTTAATTGCTTCCCTTACAAATGCGTTTATTTACATCAAATTAGGAGATAGGAGGTTTCCCTGCTTACCTTTTAACTCTCGAGACATTACTTTAGTAAAATAACACAAAATCATGAGTTTATTATCATAGTTTCAGTGTATTTTGAATGATGAACATCTTAATCCCAAATGTAGATATCTTTATATGTGACCTTTGCTAAATATACAATGATAGACATAGGCATAGGCATGTATTTTTATGCGTTTAGAAGTTGTTGCAACAGATTATTTGTATATTGTCACTACGGGAGAAATCTTATTGAAACTCAACCAACGGCTGTTTTAATGCAGTGAGCCCTTTTGTCTGAAATTGATAAAATCGCTTTAAGATTCCCGCTGCCTGCCATATACCTAATATAAAGATTTTAAAACTTCCGGTAGACTTTATGGGTGAGAGATATTTTACTGAAGTTCAGAGAGCAAATTTTTTGGTTATAATAAGGTCTTCTTCTACATTTAATATAAAGCTTATAGATTAGCTTTATCATACGCTCATATATCAGTTACCCAGGTGAACCAAAAAAGAGTTCTGAGTGGTCCAACAAACTCTCTAATCTCAGGAAACCGATTCGCAAGCATTTCAACAAAGCTATGTGTACCAGTAACTGGATTGAATACAAAATCTACCTAACCTGGCTTCATGGCTACATTAAGCTTTGGCAGATTTAAGACTGTACAGAAGATAGACTAGGAGTTCTTTTGCTTATGCACTTTCTGGAGGCTATCCTGAACGACGACACTCCACTAGTGGCCGCACACAAGCCTACTCGTTCAGATTAAGTAACTTCAAGAAACTTATTCATTGCGGCCTTTGGATGGAACTTCGTAGTGCCCTACCTAGTTGGACTGAAAATAGCCTCGTCTAGTGAAGGACTGCACGAGTAAATTTCATACCCAAGGTAGAAAGAAATGACCATTCTTTAGTAAAATTCTTCAAGCCAATTAGTCTCAGATAATTGACAATGAATTCAAATCAAAAGCACTGATGCGAACACCTCCACATGTCAGTCACCATGCTGGCTTAACTCGGAGGTAAAAAGCGCGCTGGAAACAGAAGAGGTGGCCATGTGCACCTTTTAAGACATCCAAAGTGCGTTTGATAATATAAGTGTGGGATCGGGCTACAGGGGCAGCACTCATACCGAAACCCATTACATTCTGAGTCGTCACCGAGCCAGGATCTCGATATTATATATATATATATAAGTAAATATATATTGAAAATACGACTGACGACTTGGATAGGAGGACAGCGCATCAACGCTGAACGCAACCGATGTGGTAAGCAGGCATGGTGTGCGCATAAGGCCTTTGGCATTCAAGAACATCATTCAGGGTACAGCAACGTGGACTGAGGAACGCAGCGAGTTGGTGAACGAAAAAACAAAAAAGAAAAACCACAGCCACGAAAATAACGGTAAGCATAACGGTAGAAGTGGGAAAAATAACAGACACAAAGGCATCAGCGCCAACGACGAGTAACAGTTACATTCTGCAACGAGCAACAACAAATCGTAGAAAACCGTAAGTTGGAAATACCAACAAGCGGAAGAAGCGGGTGCGTTTTAAAATATTATATAAAGGTATAGTCGAGATTTATGTTTTTTGCAACACTAACAATAAAAAATGAGCAGCGAACGTTATCTTAGTGAATATAAATTCAGTCAAATCAATTTAATTGAATAATTAAAATTAAAGTTTTTTGCAAATTCCAAAGAAATCGCTGCACACATGTTTTTTAATAAGTTTGAAGTTTTCGCCATAATCATTTATGTGTAATGTAATAAGTCAATTCCGATCTGAATTGAAATTAAATGGTGTTACAGTTTACATTACACAATTACAAATGAAATTCAATTTGAGTAAATTAAAGTAAATGCAAAAAATTCGTTTGGGCAAAAATTTATATGTCATATCTTTATTTTTACTCGAATGTATATTTAAATTAAGGGAGTAAGTGTTTTAAATGTGGCCGGATGGGGCATCAGGCAACGCGTTGTAATGAGTCTTATGATAAGGTAGAGTCAGAAAATCCTAATACTCTAACAAACGAGAAAACAGATAAATGCGTAGTATTTAAAGATTTGTCTTTAAACAACTTAAAATTTTCGGCATTGCTCGATACCGAGTGTGATTTATGTTTAATACGATACGACGTGTTGATGATGTTAGGTGATGTAAAGTAAGATAATGATGTGTGACGGTTAACGAGTATAGGAGATAGCGTACTCAATACAATGGGTAGTTTCTCTTGTCACCTGCAGGTGGACAATATTATCATACCAGTGGTGTTTCACGTAGTAAGGGAACGTGATATTTGTTATTCGGCGATAGTAGCAAACAGTGTTCTCAAATAGGTAAATATGGTAATAACAGAGGACGGAGTTACGTTTGTGAAAAAGCCAGTGGGCACACAAGCAGTAGAGGAAGCAGTTAGTTTTGTAGAAAAGTCAGTGGGCACACAAGCAGTAGAGATGAAGCATGTTGAGGAGGGACTGCATCAGGTCTGGTTAAGTGAATTTAGAAACATTTGTATGATAGCCGATAACAAGAGTAGCCAAGGTATGCAATGCGGATTGTCGCACCTAGAAAGCGAGCACAGGGAGTCAATAGTTAACCTAGTAGAAAGTTATAATCACAGTAAGACACCGGTATATCAATGCCCCAGAAGAATGCCATATGTCGATAAATGTATGGTGGAAGAACAGATCAAAAAGTGGGTGGAGGAGGGAATTATTCGTGCTACTAATTTCGAGTACGCATCGCCGGTAGTGCTAGTGGGGAAGAAAGACGGAAGTAAAAGGCCATGTTGCGACCATCGAAGATTGAATCTCAAAATTTTAAAGACAATTTTCCGATGCACCTGATAGACGATGCGCTAGAGAGATTGCAGGGAGCTCAGGTATTCACAACACTCGATTCGGAAATGGGTTCTTTCATGTTCCAGTGGGACATATGAAAATTTTTATATTAAACGAGGGGTATTGTAAAAGGATCCCATTAAGGATCTTATAGTAGTACCAGCACAGATGGAGGATGAAATTATTCGTATAGCTCACAGACAAGGCAATTTTTCAATTTAGAAGACTCAGGACGCGATCGAAAAAACATTTTTTATCCCTAACAAGGGGTTCAACACCTGATGATAGCCACAGGGGTTCCAAGAGAAAATGGACAGGCGGAAAGGATGCACAAAATCATTGTGGCAATGCTGTCAAAACTTTGCGTCGAAATTCCAACATCCTGGTACAAGTATACAGAACAAGTACAGCAAGCAATTAACAACACCCCACCAAGAAGCACGAAAGAATCTCCATTTCGTTTGCTCACAGTTGTCGAAATTAGGGTTAACGTTGTTACGGAACTAACGCTAGACGCAGAACGAGAAGCATTGCGCAAAGAAGCGCAACAAAACATTTTTAAAATCCGCGAAAGAAATCATTTAACAAGACGAGAAAGAAAGAGAGTAGGTACAAACTAGGTGATTCGGTAACGAAAACGAACTCAGTACGGGACAGGGCTTAAGCTGAAAGTAAAATTTTTCGGTCCGTACAGAATAACACAAGTTAAAAGACACGGGCGATATGAGGTGGAGAAGGTGGGCGACCACGAAGGTCCGGAGCCCACTACTACTGTCGCAGAAAACATAAAAAGGTGGGAGCCATCGTTCGAGGCGAACGTTACGTAAGGATGACCGAATCTGGGATCGGGCTACAGTGGCAGCACTGGTTCCGAAACCCATTAGCGTACTAGCGCCACAAATCCCTAACGAATGATCGTTAAGTTTGACCGAATTGCCTTAGCTTCATGAAAACAGATCGAGCTACGGACATTACATCCCGTGTCGTCACCGGGCCAGGATCTCAATATTATATATATATAAGTAAATATATATTGAAAATACAAAGAGGAACCCACATAAGTGTAACAAAGTACTAAAGATCAGGAAGCTTTCTTCGTATTATCTCAGCTATCAGCTGAGAACACTTTAGGTCGGAATCGGTACCACTAGGGGATATCCACAATGAGAAGAACTGGAACAGCACATCAGTTAGGCCGCGGTTTACAAATATCGCTCGAAGTAAGAAATTTATATTTGCAAAATAAAACTTTTCGTGCAAATGGCAACATAGTAGGGGAACACCATTCGAATGTTTATAACATTATAAAATCGTATACAAATAACGGAGATGTAAATATAAAATGCAGGTCGTTCAGACCTAAAGCTTTGACGCCCTACGAAGAACGCAATGCCATCGTTGCAGTTAAACAAAATCCGCGTATTTCAGCAGTAAAAATTACGAATAATATAAACGTGGAATTTCAAAAAAAGATTATCTTGATAAGCCAGATTTGTTCTGGGAGAATGTTGTATTAACCGACGAATAAAAATTCAACATTTTTGGTTCGGACAGAGTAATAAAAGTGTGGAGACGTGCCAATGCAGAGATGTAAGAAAATAACTTGATACCTATAGTCAAACATGGTGGGGAAACATCATGGTTTGGGGTGAATGGCTGCATCCGGCGTGGGTTATTTGAAGTTTATTACA